CCAAATTTCCCCAATATCAAAACAACCCGATTCTCCCGTTTCTGCTCTCTCCCAAACCACCCCAAAATTCCTCTGATCTTCTAAATGAATTTTTTTTTTTAAAATGTACATTTTTCCTTCAGAAGAAAACCCCAAAACGGCCACTTTTCAGGATTCTGATCTCAGAAAATGATTTAAATAAAAAACACAATTCGGAGTTTTTCCACCCCCCGTTTATCAGCGCATCTCCAGGTTTCACCTTTGATCACTGATAAAAACGGGGCCATAAATTCCTCGGAAGCAAACGGTGAAAAAAATAAATAAATTTTTTTTAAAAAAATCTATTTTTCGATTTTTTTTTGGGGGGGGGCTCATTTTCTGTTGTTTTTCAAACGATTTTTTAAGCTCGGTTGATTCCCCAGCTGGGATTGAATTTTTCAACCCAATTTCTGCGGATTTCAATGAGGGTTTTTTTGGCTCAAAAGTTGATTTTTTGCTTTCTTCGGTTCCCCACAAGCACTGAAAATCCCCAAAATGCTGATTTTTCACCCCAAAACGCTGCTCACCGCTGCTGCCTCCGCTCTCCTTGGTTGCCAGAACCCCGATGAGGACGCAGGCCACGACCACCACAGCACAGAAAAGGACGCTCAGAACGATCTCCAATTTGCTGAATTTTGCTTTTCCCATCTGTTCGGGGATTTTTTGGTTTATTTGGGTGAAGAAACCCCCCAAAAAATCACAATTTTTAGTAAAATTTGGAAATTATTTGTATTTTTTTTTTGTTTTTTTTTTTCGCGCTCCTGGAAAAAATGATTAAAATTCAATTTATTATTCGGCTCCGTCTTGAGGTTGGAGGTGAAATTCGCTGAGATTTCAGAGATGGAAACAGAAATGTTTTGAAAAATGTTGGTTTTTTAAAAAAAAATATTATTTAAAATTTTTTTTGGGGGGGTAATGGAAAAAAAAAAAGGGAAAATAGGGGTTAAATAGGGGGAAAATGGAAAAAAAATGGGGGAAAGTGGGGAAAATGGGACAAATTGGAAAAAGGGGGAGAAATGGAAAAAAATGGGGGAAAGAAATGGGGAGAAATTGGGGAAAGAATGGGGGAAAATGGGAAAAAATGGGGGAAAATGGGAAAAAATGGAAAAAGGGGGGAAAATGGGAAAAAAAATGGGGGAAAGAAGGGGAAAATGGGACAAATTGGAAAAAGGGGGAAAATGGAAAAAAATGGGGGAAAGAAATGGGGAGAAATTGGGGAAAGAATGGGGGAAAATGGGGGAAAATGGGGGAAAATGGGAAAAAATGGGGGGAAATGGGAAAAAATGGAAAAAGGGGGGAAAATGGAAAAAAAATGGGGGAAAGTGGGGAAAATGGGACAAATTGGAAAAAGGGGGATAAATGGAAAAAAATGGGGGAAAGAAGTGGGGAGAAATTGGGGAAAGAATGGGGGAAAATGGGAAAAAATGGGGGAAAATGGGAAAAAAATGGAAAAAGGGGGGAAAATGGAAAAAAAAATGGGGGAAAGAAGGGGAAAATGGGGGGGGGGAAGAAAAAATGGGGGAAAGAATGGAAAAAATAGGGGAAAATGGTAAAAATGGGGGAAAGAAGGGAAAAATGGGGGGAAGAAGAGGAATAAAATGGGGGAAAGAAGGGGAAAAATGGGAAAAATGGGGAGAATGGGGAAGATGGAATGAAATGGGGGGAAGAAGGGAGGGGGAATGGGAAAAAATGGGGGAAAATGGAGAAAAATGGGGCAAAGAAGGGGAAAATAGAATGAAGTGGGGGACAGAAGGGGGAAAATGAGGGAAAATGAGGGAAAATGAGGAAAATGGGAGAAAGAAGGGGAAAAATGAATGAAATGGGGGAAAGAAGGTGGAAAATGGGGGAAAACTGGGGAAACTGGGGGAGAAAATGGGGGAATCAAGAGGAAAATGGAATGAAATTGGGGACAGAAGGGGGAAAATGGGGGGAAAAGGGAAAAATGGGGGAATGAAGGGGAAAATGGAATGAAATTGGGGACAGAAGGGGGAAAATGGGAAAAAAATGAAAATAAACGGTGGAAGGAAGGGGA